TTTTTTTTATAAAGGTAGTTACTAATTAAAGTCTCCAGATGTTATCTCCCTCAGAAAAGGCTGAAAACCTTCACAAGCAGATTGTTAGCCTGGTCAGTTGCTGAAAGGTGATTTAAAAACCTTTATTACTAGCCTTTTCTAGTACCTAACATCCCAACTAACAGGAAGATTTCCCTTTATCCAAATGGAAGTTCTTCCTTCCAGCATACATGCATTTTGTCTGGTTTGCACTAGAGAACAGCTGGTAAGTAATTCAGGCCAGTGTTTCTGGGTCCTTTCTATTCTCAATTTCTTCTGTGCCAGTTTCCACAGCACAGAGAGGGACCTGATAGGGGTGGGTGGGTGGCTGGAGATCAGGAAGCAGCAAATATTTATGCCCCTTGGGGAGTTGGAAGGTTTGGTAAGTATCTGAAATTTTTCTGTTTATGTAATGAACAAATGAAGGTCAACAGGTAGTGAGAAGGGGTGAGAGAAAAAAATGAGTAATGAAAGGTTTTGGAAATGATTTTTAAAAATTTATTGAAGTATAATTGACATATTAGTTTCAGGTGTGCAGCACAGTTTTTGACATTTGTATTGTTGTGAAATGGTCATGACAATAAGTCTAATTACTATCCATCACCTTGCAGAGTTAATAGTTTGTGGGTTTTTTTTTTTTTAATTCATTTGACAGAGATAGCACAAGCAGGGGGAGTGGCAGAGGGAGAGGGAGAAGCAGGCTCCCCACTGAGCAGGAAGCCCGATGCGGGGCTCGATCCCAGGACCCTGGGACCATGACCTGAGCCGAAGGCAGACGCTCAACGACTGAGCCACCCAGGGGCCCCTATTTTCAAGTAGTATCAGTTGCTTCTTTTCTACATCCCTTCTGTCACCTAACTGCTAGAAGCTTTGGGGGGAAAATATCTAATCCATTTAACTGTCTGAGGTGTCATGGCTTTTCCCTAGATTATTACACTTTTCCTTATATAGACTGTTGGTGGTTTTTAATGACATAGGTTCTCTTTTATAATTTGGCAGTAGGCTCTGATTTCTCTATGCTCATATAACCAGACGTCACATTTTGCCCTTTAAAACACATTTAGATTATTGGGGTAGAAGTATAAAATCCTTTCACTTGTCATTGAACTCCCTGGTTCTATCAGTCAAGATAGACAGCCTGACGTTTGCATGTGCCACCTGGGCCTTTTTGCTCAACTACGCTTTTCTTTGCTCTTTCACTCTTTTGACAAAACAACTGCTGTGATTTCTAGCATTTCTCTCTCCTAATCCAGTTTTTAAACTGTTTATTCCATTCTGATGTTCTGAATGCCATGTGTGCTGTTCTTTAGAGGGTTTCCCTTATCTACCAATCAGTTTTAATGATTTTGGTTCTTAATGTTACAGCAGGCTGATTGCCCCTACCCTCACATCATTGGGCTTTTGAATTGTCGCCCTTAGAAAAGAAGTAGAGAATATTCAAGGCAAAGAAAACTAACACAGACCATCAGGGAAAGAAGAGGAAACCATGAATGTAAATTCATAGTGAGAGGACAGACGGTAAAAAGGGAGTGAGGGAAAATTAAAATCTCTTGCAGTGGACCCTTGGTTATAAGCTTTCCTGCCATGTCTTTACTTCTAATGCATCCTTTGTGGGACAAGCCTGGAATGTGTTTCTGATTAAGAAATTTAAAAAACAACTTATGGGCAGTTTTCTGTGAGTAACTGCTAATTCTACTTTTTAATTTTCCCTTAACATCTGCATTTTTGTATTTGAATAATTGTTTTTATCATCACTTGACTTTTTAATCTTTCTCTAAAATTGTGACTTGTGATTAATTTCCGTGCTTTCTTTTCCCACAAGCATGTTGAATTTAATTATACTGAGATGACTCTTGTGACCTGCCTAAAGAGAAGCACCCTCCTTCATGTAATAACATTTCCATCTTTTAAGTTTTTAAAGCAGTCTTGTCTTATAAATCATAAAATGGATTTTAAAACACTACTCTAAAACCAATGCTTTTCAACCTTTGGCTTGGTAAAAATTACTATAAGGAGTGCACATCCTTCCATACGCTGAGCAGTGCCTGGCTGCTCAGTAAAGTCTTCCACATTAAATACTCTCGTTATACATGTGATTCTGATTAAAATGGGGATAGAACTGGATATATTTTTAGTGAATAGTGAAAGCATAACAATAACCAGTGAGATTCCTTATTGTTGATTCCTTTATCAAGGAACCCTTGAACTAAAAAAAAAAAAAAAAAAACACAACCCTAATTTAGTTGTTGACCGGCCTCACAAAGTTAGTCCTTGGTCCTGATAGCTTTCTATAGGAAGAGGCATGTGATCAGCTCCAGGGTACATAGGAGAAGCTAGGTCAGAACTAACCAGTCACTTAACCAGTCCCAGCTAGGGTTACTGTCTTCCGCCCGCCTGGCAGTCAGCACTTGGTGAACTGTGTGCTGTGTGTGTGCCCATTGCAGTCTCCTCTCACTGCAGCCTGGTTTAGCGTCCCCCTTTAGTAGGTGGAAGAGAGCTCCTGCAACTTGTCTCCAAAGGAGCCAGGGCCTCTGACAAAATAGAAAAGCGGTTAGCTGCTGTTGTAGTTCTAACTTTCGGATGGTTATGCCTGTTTATTAGAAGACACAGTTTCTACCTTCCGTGGTCAGATGCAGACGGGGGTCAGGCACTGTTAGCCAGGCTACAACACTTAGGCCTATGCAATGACATGTTGCCTTTCATTATTTTTGTTTTTAAGTAACGCTATACGTTTAGGAGTTCATTTGTTTACCTCTTTACAGGCTGAACATAACTTCCTTTTTTCAAAATTCCCTGTGTTGTGAACTGAGCTTGAGTGAAGTGAAATCTTTGAGGTAAGGTGATCCTAATGATAAAAATGGAAAGAAGGCCTGCGCAATTTGGGAGCCTTCAGAGATATAGTTTTAGAGTCACTGCCTAAATATTGAAATGCCACCATTTGTTGTTTGGAGGATGGGAAGCTAAATTGAGAACGGGAGCACCACATCTGCCTTGACTGCTAAGTATATCCATTTCTACTGCTCACCCATAATAGAATTTTTATGTGTGTGTTCATTAATCTTGGTTTTAGCATCAGTTTAAAGGAGGACGGAGAACGAAGAGACTTAGTTTACATTCCTCTGTCCTTCCCTTACGTGTTTGAGTGTTTGCTCCTAGTGGGCCCCACTTCTTTCTCATTATCATCACTCTGGTGGTTTTTGTTTCTCTAGAAAGGTTGAACAACAGAAGAGACCTTGTTTCCTAGTATTCTGTCAAAAGGCAGAATATTACTATTCCATTTTTATTTTTGCTTTTTAAATTTTCTGGTAAAATAAGATTCAGAGTAAAGTTTTGCCTCTCCCACCTAATGAAGGTCACTGAATCAGGAATTTTTAAAAAGTCCTTCACTCTGATGAGGAACCATTAGGGAGCACATTTGCTCTCAGCACACCATCAAGAAGTCGGGGTTGGTCCAGTGCAGGTAGTAGTTAGTATGTGAGGCCTTAAGTTTTTGGCGACCAGTTCTTCAGCCAGCTGGTCTCTGGCCTGCTTCTGACGGTCTGAACCATTCCTTATGCGACTATGCTGAGGTTAGTTTGGACCCAGCACTGTGCTCATTGCTGTCTTTGGCACATGGCAACTAAATTTAAACCAAGGCCAACAACCCAGTTTTCCTTTCCAAAAACATTTTCAGACCACATGAGGTGAGCTTTCTTTTTTTTTCCTTAGCAGTTTTCATTTTTGGTTTTGGGGGTTTTTTGTTGTTTTTTTTTTTTGTTTTTTGCTTCAGGTAGTTTTAGGTTTTGGGGCCCCTCAAAACCTGATTCGCAGAAAGGAGTTTGGAGGATGTGAAACAAGTTTGTGTTTCTTCTGCTCTGTTAGCCACTGCTATCTTCATGGATCTGACACTCTATTTATCTGACAGTGCACTTAGTACTGCTTCGCCAGGGAAAATCACACAAACCCAGCCTGGCGCATCAGCACTTTCATTGTGTGCCGGGCTGAGCCTCCCTTCACATGCTCACATCCCCCTTTTAATCTAGTACTCCCCTTCCCCTCCCCAGTCCTGCCTGTTTCTGTGGCACTTACTGCTGGTTTCCCTGAGCTCCTCTTTCCACTTTGTGTTTTTTGTGGGGCCCAGGAAGCTAAAGCTGTGTGTATTTGTGGATCAGACAAGTGCAGCAAGTTAATATCATTGGCTTCTGAAGGGGAGAGTGAGGTGATGGCTGCGTTTAAGTTGGATTTCCTTCCAGAAATGATGGTGGATCATTGCTCTTTGAATTCCAGTCCTGTGTAAGTATTTTTGTTGTCTAATTTTTATCATAAGCAGAGGAACTGGGCTATTTTCTTTGTTATTTGATGAAACTGGTCCCTTTCCCTAAAAGAAGGAAGAAAAAATTGGGTGAGGAAGCCAAAGTCCACACTCTTATTATTTTCTATTGTAGTCTGATTCTGTCTCATCACTGCTGATTTCCTTGGGGCTATAACTAAGTTCTCTACAGAAGGGTGTATTTGATATATGAGCAGCAACATCAACTCAAGTGTGTTGGCTCTAATCCTTCAAGCTGTAGTGTTTTCCCATATGATAGATTCCAAGGTATTTTTTTTTTAACCTTAGCTTTACTGCTTTGCATTGGGTATGCAATTTCAAATAATCTTTTGGGAAGTTATATCAAATTCTTAGATCACAGAGGAGACTGGTTACTAGAGTGTATTTAGTAACGTATACAGAATGCTGTATTGGCATCTAAACTGTAACCCTGGGCTCTGATTTTTTCCTAGTCTAATTGAAAATGCAACACAATACATGATTTCAGGGATGTCAGATTGACCCCCCCCCAAAAAAAAGCAAAACTGGATCAATCTTGATTGGCAGTTTGCCCAAATTTTCAACATGGGAATGAGAAATCTAACCAGTGTGCAGTACTGTTCAGGAAGTGACGCTGCCATTGTACACAGCTAAATTGCTAACCTGGCCCTGAGCTGTAGCTTCAGGGAACCTGAATTCTGCACTTGGTAGAGAAGAACACATTTCTGACTCCTGATTTCACTTACTTTAACCAGGCTTCAAAGTATCGAAACCTCAAGCAGATGAGCCTTAGGTTATTCAAAGCCAAGAATATTAAATGGTAGAATAGTCCCTAGATAACAGGTGGTGGTAGTGTAAGGCCTTGAGATCAGGGCCTCCATTGGAAATCAGTTTACCCTTGGGATTATGTGGAACAGGTGTGGATAATAGCATATTCTAAACAGTTCTCTGTGGAATGGTTTGGGGGATCTCAAAGTTAGCTGGCTTGCTCCTTTGAAATGGATGCTCTGCCTTCTCTGTAGTATCCAAAAAGGTAATTTAGATGTGTCTTTTTATGCAAGTTCTTTACTGCTAAAATTTTATTTTAGCTGAAGATAACAGGTGAAATCACAATGAATGCCACCATAAAGACTTAATACATAATAGAAGTACTCCCATGTACTAGATATGTCTCCTTAGAAAGAGGACTTTGTGGCTCAAATTGTCTTTCATTGTAACAGTTTCTCTCCATGCTTTGCCACTGCCTTTATTCGGCCCTTAGATACAGCATTTTTCCTCAGCCTGATTTCTCATCTTTCACGAGGTTAGACTAGTTCAGTATCCCATGAAATCTGGATCACAGATCACTGCAGGAAAGTTACCTGGAATATAAAAATGCTGATCCCTGGACCCATGCCCATATAGTCTTATGCTTAGAATAGGACCCCAGAATCTGTATTTTAGCAGTGTCCCATGTGGTTTTCATGCACACTAAAGTTGGAGAGCTAATGGACTGAATGCAGCTCATTCTGTTAGAGGTGATGGGACACCATCGCATCATTTCTTCTCTAGTGCGTTTGCATTTGTTTAGTCCTCCATCCTACAAAAGCTTCAGGAAGTTAATTGGTCACAGGCTATTGCCCCTTTTACAGATGAGAAACCCAGTTGAGAGAGGCTATAGCTGACTTGCCTGAGGACAATTGGTATCAGCCTTGGACCTAAAATGAAGTTTAATGATATCCTCTTTTTATTTTTGCCCCCTAGACCAGCCTGCCTCAGGTACCCTCTCATTATTGCAAGTCCTCGGGCCCACTCCCATGGGTACTATATGCCAAAACACCACAGAGTTAGTAAGGAAGTTCTTGATGGTGTGTTTGCCACTTTTTTGTTGGATTCTCAGCTCTTCTTTTAACTCATTAGTAGGAGACTTGACATGCCTGGGAATATAATTGAGCAATGTATCTTTTTCAAAATTTCTTTACAACAAAGAAGAGAAGAAAGAATGGCTGGTGGAGGTGTGGAAGGGTCGGGGGACCTGAACTGTAGTTCCTATTATTTTTTTTTTTTTTAAGATTTTTATCTATTTATTGAGAGAGAATGATAGAGCATGAGAGGGGGGAGGGTCAGAGGGAGAAGCAGACTCCCTGCTGAGCAGGGAGCCTGATGCGGGACTCATCCTGGGACTCCAGGATCATGACCTGAGCGGAAGGCAGTAGCTTAACCCATTGAGCCACCCAGGCGCCCATTCCTATTCTTATTTTTAACAATGTCCTTGATTCTGCTCTGACCACTCTTCAGCTTCCCTGGTTCCTCTTACTTTGCTTATATCCTAGGAGCTGAGTGTTGTTCAGGAGTTGTAGCTCAGGCCCTTTTCTCTTGGCTTTCCCTTGGCTTAAGGGGGTACCAGTGTACTTCTCTGATTCTCAGATCTCTGTGTTTAATCACCCAATGTCCCCTGAACTTCCCATGCAAAAACACTTTCCCAGATTGTCTCTACTAGAACCCAAGAGTGATCAGTAACTTCTTCCCTTTTCCTCATCTTTTTCATCAAGGGATCTCCCAAGTTCTATGAGTCCTGTCCCCAAATTTTTCAGCATTGCCTGAGACTGGGCCCTAATCTTAGGAGCTAGTTTGTATGGAAATCTCCGTATTTTCCCATTTTATTTCATCCTCTGTATTATTGCCAGGTGTCTTTTATTTTTTATTTTATTTTTTTTCTTAAGATTTTTATTTATTTGACAGAGAGCACAAGCAGGGGGAGCAGCAGCTGGTAGAGGAAGAGGGAGAAGCAGGCTCCCCAATGAGCAGGGAGCCCGATGTGGGGCTCTATCCCAGGACCCTGGGATCATGACCCGAGCCTAAAGCAGATGTTTAACCAACTGAGCCACCCAGGCACCCCTGCCAGGTGTCTTTTAAAAGATAAATCTGATCACTTCCTTGTTTAAAAATCTTGGAATAAAGTCCACGCCTGTCAGTATCACATGAAAAGCTCTTCACTGGGTCTCTCCAACCTATCTGTTTATTCTCATTGATTTTCTAATGTTTTCTCTTTTTTTTCTAATCTTTTAAAATGTTTGTGTACTCTCCCCTAACTTTCTCAGGTCCTTTTCTCCCTTTCTAATGCTGTCTGTCTCGCTCTCCTCTGATCTCTTTTTTCTGAGTTCTTACCATGCCCTCATCATTCTATGCTATACAGCAGTGTTTCCAGCTCCTCTGTCCATTCACCTTAAACCCCTTCCCTCCTCCCCCAGATAAAAAAAACTATCTTAGTCACTTTCTTTCACAGAACTTGTATATATCTGTGAAAATATTTGCAGGGCATTATAGTTGTGTCCTTCCAGTTGTTCAGTGCCATTGCCTTCAGGGCAGTGTTGCTCAGTCCCCTTCTATAGCCCCTAGAGTGTGTGGTATCGCACATAGTAGGAACTTGGGAAATACAGCTGAATGAATGATAAGCCCTGTGAGGTGTTTTGTTTTTTTTATAAAGGTAGTTACTAATTAAAGTCTCCAGATGTTATCTCCCTCAGAAAAGGCTGAAAACCTTCACAAGCAGATTGTTAGCCTGGTCAGTTGCTGAAAGGTGATTTAAAAACCTTTATTACTAGCCTTTTCTAGTACCTAACATCCCAACTAACAGGAAGATTTCCCTTTATCCAAATGGAAGTTCTTCCTTCCAGCATACATGCATTTTGTCTGGTTTGCACTAGAGAACAGCTGGTAAGTAATTCAGGCCAGTGTTTCTGGGTCCTTTCTATTCTCAATTTCTTCTGTGCCAGTTTCCACAGCACAGAGAGGGACCTGATAGGGGTGGGTGGGTGGCTGGAGATCAGGAAGCAGCAAATATTTATGCCCCTTGGGGAGTTGGAAGGTTTGGTAAGTATCTGAAATTTTTCTGTTTATGTAATGAACAAATGAAGGTCAACAGGTAGTGAGAAGGGGTGAGAGAAAAAAATGAGTAATGAAAGGTTTTGGAAATGATTTTTAAAAATTTATTGAAGTATAATTGACATATTAGTTTCAGGTGTGCAGCACAGTTTTTGACATTTGTATTGTTGTGAAATGGTCATGACAATAAGTCTAATTACTATCCATCACCTTGCAGAGTTAATAGTTTGTGGGTTTTTTTTTTTTTAATTCATTTGACAGAGATAGCACAAGCAGGGGGAGTGGCAGAGGGAGAGGGAGAAGCAGGCTCCCCACTGAGCAAGGAGCCTGATGCGGGGCTCCATCCCAGGAACCTGAGATCATGACCTGAGCCGAAGGCAGACACTTAACCAACTGAGCCACCCAGGCGCCCTGAAGAGTTAATAGTTTTATTTACCAAATTCCCATGCTGTAACCCCATGATTTACTTATTTTGTAACTAGAAATTTGTACTTAATCCCCTCTACCCATTTCGTTTCCCCCAAGGAAATGATTTTTAAACAGATATAAAGGTAGTATTTGCCAGCCTGTTTGGCTGCAAGGAACAGATACTCACTCGAGCTAGGGGATACATTAAAGGGTTTTCTTGTAAGGACACACATGGACCAGACTGTAATGTAATCAGGAACTCCACAGCCGGAAGACCTGGAAACTCCCATCTTTCTGGCCCTGGACACATGTTCTGCTCTCTCTGCATGTGCTGCTACTTCTGCTTTTCACCCACCTCGTAACTGTGGGTGCAGCACGGCTTTGCTTTGCCACGGCCCTTCCAGCCAGTTTTCTCCTCTTGCTCTGTATCTGTCTCTCTCTCAAATTAAGATATAATTCACGGGGCGCCTGGGTGGCTCAGTCGTTAAGCGTTTGCCTTCAGCTCAGGTCATGATCCTGGAGTCCTGGGATCGAGCCCCGTATCGGGCTCCCTGCTCTACGGGAAGCCTGCTTCTCCATCTCTCACTCCCCCTGCTTGTGTTCCCTCTCTCACTGTGTCTCTATCAAATAAATAAAGTCTTTAAAAAAATAAATAATAATTCACTCAACATAAAATTTACCCTTTTATTTATTTATTTTTGAAGATTTTATTTATT